AGCAGCTGCTGCGAACATGATATATGCAAAAATCAAAGCATCCAGTCCCAGGACACGACGCCCACGGTTGCTGTCCGCATCCAGTCCGATCGAGACTTGATCCTTGATTCCTACCGATCGCTTCTTCTTCGGGGCAAAGGCATCCTCTGGTTTGGGGATGATCACTGGTTCGGCTGTGCCGAAAGGCTTTCCAAAAGCAATCCTTGTCCAGAAGACGTAGGACATGTACAAGAAGAACACCACACCGGCAAGGGCGATGCCAGTATTCCGGACCATGTCGTCTGTATTTACGGCAGTCAAGCTTGACACCTTTTGCATACCTTCACCACTGAGCAAAAATTCTTCTCTGGACACATGTCGAAGGAGTCGCGTCTTATACCACTTGCCCAAACTTGAATAGGTGCCAGTTAATGTGAACGTGACGCTTCGCAAGAAAATGCATGCAGTCACCAGAAGCCAAGCCCGTGGACGCATGGCTCTGCTGGCAAATGCAAACAAACAGCTAGGACGTTGTATTATATCCAAATCTCTTCAGCGGATTTCTAGCTTGATTTCCAAAAGTGTGTTGCATGAAATCGGAAATGGACATCAATATTACTAATAATTGAAATTAATTATGTATAGACATTTCATGTCATGCACTTTCAACTTCTTCAGTCTTGAGGATGGTAGGAACGTCACCAACCGTCCATGTTCTTGAAAGCAATGCACGTGTGTGAAATAGAAACACCTGCGTGCATGGAGCAACATCGGTCAACCCCCCCACGAAAGAGCGTTTCCGATGCTCAAGTCTGGAAGAGCTCCAACGAAGTCATGGCTCAACAACACCTCCTTCCGACCTCAGCACCTGCAAAACCATGGCCAAAAAAACCCTCTGAATGCATTGGGCAACACATGTCAACGCCTCCATCTCAGCGGTATAAATGGTGTGTTCAAACACGAACAGCTGCACATCGACCCTTTGAGATGAGCACCGTCTTCCCAGTGCCCGTCAGCCCGGAGTACAAGACATGGTTCTCGCTGGCCACCTGGTCTCGCCGTTTGGGCCGTGGGGACGGCCACACAGGGCGAAGAAGCGACACGGGTGCGACGCATACAGGCATTCAGGCATACAGGAATGAACATCAAACGTGCAACATACACTATACAACGATGACCGTATGACACCCCCAATAAAAACGATTTAAATATTATACACGAAATCTCACACAAAAAAATGCAGAATCTTCAATGCCTGTCTGGGGTTCATCTGCCTATCCCATGATCAAAGCCTGAGTGCTCAACTGATTTGTTCTGCTGAATTCGGTGACACCACGCCGTGCCGCGTTCCGGCCCGGTGGTTCCGTCTCTTTCGTCCCCCCGTCTTCGTCGTTTTCGTTTTGGGTGCCGGGCCATCGTCTGCAAGAGGAAGGCGCTGCGGACGGTGTCGGTGGTGGGCACCATCACCTGGTGTGCCTCACATCGGACGGCAACGTGGCACCAGGCGTGCCACACGGTGAGACCATATGGTTTCACCTTTAGACATGTCAGCTCTGAATTTCATTGTAACCGTTGGATGGGAACAAACTATAACAATGTTAGACTTGTGGCTGGTGGCTCGGTTTCATATGTGATGTTGATCACTGCTCACATGCAGCATGTCGTCACAGTCGTGCTGTCAGGGCGGCCCACCGAGGTCGCTGCCAGTGCCTCCTTGGGTATATCAAAGCCAGTGATCCTGGTGCCGTTCAGTGAATTAGTCGGGTCTTTCGATACATTGCACGACTGCTGTATCATAAACGTGGACAACCTCCAGCTTAGAATCAGTTCACTAATATTGTGTATATATATATATGTGTGTGTGTATGTATATATAGCTCCTCTATTTCAATGAACACCGCCAAGCACGTGTTGAACAGAACAAACAGAACGCCTCAAACCCAAACCTGATCAACACAACGCCGACCTATCATGCCAACTCAACAGCAGATGGAACAACGATCTTCATAATGAAACTTATTTAGATATATATAATATATATATATATACATGTGTGTGTGTGTTTGTGTGCTTCTGCATGTGTGTTTGTATGCGTGTGTGCATGCATATATGTATGAACATCCAATCCATCCCTGTAATTCTTCCAACACATTCAGGTGGATCAAACGGTCTCCGCCGTTTTCCATGAAACTCACCTCTGGCATTGGCTCCCTCCCTCCCTCTCCCTCCCTCTCGCTGCAGCCAAGACTCTTCTTAGTCCATGCTTCCCACTTATTGGACCTCAGCCACGTCAACCCATGCACCGAACCCCCCCTCAAAAACACACACACACACACAATCTCGCACGCTCACGCTAGCACCGCCGCACTCGTGTTGCGCAGCTCTGGGTGCCCAGGCTGAGAGAACGCAAAGTATTCGAACACGGTGTCCTTTTCTGGGAAGGGTGTCTTTGACACAGGCCTCACCGAGCTGGAAAGCCGCCGAACCGGGGTCCCACCGGTTGCGAGCTCGTTTGGTACTCGTTTGGTCCCTCCGAATGGCTCCCCAAACTCCTCTGCTGCCTGAAAGGGGGTTTCTTCATTGTGAGTAAGTATGGCAGCCGATAGCCTCATGGTTGGATCATCGGCAATGAGGTTGAACTCGTCCTGGAGAAGAAGCAGCTGAATGACTTAAGTGCGAATTCATCCGCATGAGTTCCTGCCTTTCAAAAATGCAACAAGTAACATGGGCAACAGGAAAGTCCTGAAAGAGCATCATGACTAGCAGATCTAATGCTCTTTCATGGACTTTCTGCTTCAGAGTATGTTAAGCTTGTTAAGCTCACAAATTCAATCAAATTCACAATATGATACATCATCTGAATCTGCTGGGACCAGGCCTTCACTGGCATGCCCATCTGGATCGAACGCACAAACCTGCAGATCGCACCAAAAAAACCAGCATGCGGTCGATGAGAAGACTGCCAAGAGTATAGGAATATATAGTTCGTTGCCACTATTGCCTACTTCATTCTACTTCCATATGACTGTAGTGCTTCCAGAAAGATTGAGCGGATGTCCACAGCCGGACCTTGGTTGGTGGTGAATCGGGGACCTTGAAGGGGCTGCCGTCGTGTTTTGATAGTTGAAGGACAGACCTGATCACTCTCCCGCCTATGTGGATGGCACACATTGCAAGAGAAAATCTACAGTGTGATATACGTGAAGGGTTGCCTGATTCGTCTGTCAGTTCTGTCTGTGCCACCAAATTGCCTTATATATTGTATAGATACACTCCCTATCACTCCCTCTAGTGACAAACATTGAATGTTATTTCGTGCCCCCCCAGCAAGCACCTCCCAGCTTCACTGGATTCTAGGAAAAAAACACCTATATAGCTACCACACAGGGATCAGTGAATCCAGCGAACTCACCAATACTACCAATGCTGATGGATATACTCCACCCCTCACCTCGACCCCCGGAATCGATCTCTTCTGAGCCCGGAGCTTGTCCATGATCTTGCGCCCAGCCGTGTCAGTGGTGGCACCGAAGCTCCACACCAAAGCCAACCAGAACCTGCGCCACGGTTAGGGCAGTTGAAACTGCCACGGGTGAGGCCTGAAGGTCTGATTTTGTGTCGCGGACAAAAGTTTCCGTATAATTATGGTCGGTTCACCAGCCGCTGGCCGATTGGTTCGCGCAGCTGGGGAGACCCATCTCTCTGCTCTCCAAGGCACATGTTTTCCACCTTCACCTCCTTTTCCTTGGCGGGGAGGTCCTGTGCGGGCACGTGGAGAGGCATACCACATGGCATGCAGAACGAACGGCCCAAGTCGGACCCCGATGGGCTCGGACTCCCATCGAAGGAAGGAACAGAAAAAGACTCCAAAAAGTCCCCGACTTGGCCCGTCAAGTGGCCAAAAGCACCTCATTACCTGACTCCCAGCGTCAAAGGGAGAACCAAATCATCAAAATGAAAAGTACCAGTGAGGGAGTGCGAGGTGTTCATGCACAAGGGTCACTTGGATACTTGGTCTCCCTACTTCTGAAGGGCGTCGTGGTATCCCATCCCAACTGCTCCTTCGCATCCTTTTCGGGATCCAGCGGCAGCTCAATGCGCAGGAGTGCCTCGGCCATGTGTTGGGGATGAGAACGCTTGGATGTGCAAGCATCCTGTGGTTGACTTTCGGACGGCAAAAGCTACTCGCACAACTCTTCAGCAAGGCTGAGTCACTGCTTCCTTTTAGACTTAGTTCAGGACGTATCCTCTCGCGCTCGTTATGTGAAACTGAAACAGGACCCTTCACCACATGTCCCGATCGACAAACACCGGACAATCATGCAACATCAACGTCTTTGACTCAAAAAGGGGTACAGTATAGAGAAGGGATTTAAGTCTATCCAGTAACTCAATCCATTGCACCTGGAGATGTGTTTTGTATTGTTGTATGTTTTGCTGATGCTGAACCCCTCCACGAGGCAGGCCCCTTGGTTTGTTCCAGTCTGGAGTGTCGACAGCATCAAACCCGGGGACTCCCACCAAGAGAAGCTTCAGCAAGCTGCAGACCAACCAGTTCTGCGTCACGGGCACCGGAGTCTTAATCTGGCAAGCGCAGGGCACGCTGTGCGGCGGAGCGCGGACGGCACCACTTGGTACATCAGATCTGACATGATCTGATACAACGCCTGAAGAGGAACTCCAAGCAATGACACATCATGATTCTTCGTAATTCCGATGTTCCTGCATTGCCTCAAGAACACCTGTGCCCGCGAACGTGTGCTCCTGAAGATGTTGGAAGAATCGTTCTTGATAGGGCCCCTAAGAAGGGAAGTCGATGAAACACAAACGAAACATAAGGGGAACTTTATCACAAAAGAAACCTTTCCAGTAGTGCGGATGTCCAGTAAGGCAAAACAAACCTAATATATAATATAAAAAATAAAAATAGAAAAAGTAAAAAACCTATTATAAACTATATTCATAAAAGCCACAGCTCCACTTCTCAGCCCCATCTGGTGCAGCCGGGAGCTCAGGCCATATCAAGTTTTTGGGATGTAGTTCCCTGCCCGGCAGCCGGCATTGAACGTCTTCAAGGTCCCCGCCTTGCGCTGGCACATCTCCCAGCATTGATCCACGTTCGTCTCAAAAAGCGTCTTCAACTGTTCGCCGCAGTCCTGCTGTTCGCGAGCAGGTGATGCTAGGGACAGGGCCGGACCAGGGTTGGATGTAGGGCTGCCGATCCACCGACGTTATCCCAGGTAGGACCCTTAAAACAGGCAACCACCACGGAACCCCAAAATCACTGGAGAATGTGGTGCAATTGCTCTTCCAAACTCAATTCCAGTTTGACTTGGTCTACTACTTTCAGGCTCTCTTTCTTCCAGGGGGGAGTGTCCATAAGTCATGAGTGAAGCGGATCCGCAAAGCTTGTCGATCACGTCCAGTTCGCCTTCTCACCCCCCCAAAAGAATACCGTTAGATACTGGTATAGGTACGGTAAGGTTGGTCAATTGAGCTGATAATCGGCCGATCCCAGCTCACCCGCTGAAACAGCCCATCCATGTTTTGTTCCACATGGATGGTGGACCGTGAATACCTACCCGGTGGTTTTTCTTATCTTTCGGAGGCGCTGGTCTTGTCGTCCTGCAGCCGCTCGGGAGCTGTTTCGAGCCTGAAGGCGAAAATGGGCACGCCCCAAAAAAATAGCAAGATTAATAGCTTTCGACGTGTTTTCACTACATCCCCGAAATTCCTCAAGAGAAAGATTGTCAAGCATGCAATTGTTGGCAAAGAAAGAAACGTAGCCATTGCAGGCCTCCAGCCCCCATGTCCACCTACTAAACCTCACCTGTCGACTCTGGATTGTGACCCTCTGTGCAGTTTCTTTACTTTTGGTTTATGCTGGTTGGGAGACCAAGTCCGTGCGAGCCTTTCCTAAAGTGAAAGATTGAACGAGCAGCTTAGACACTGCTTTTGCCTGGAGAGCTTCTCTAACAGTGGATTGGGGAGTTCCGGTTTTGGGCTTAGTAATTTTGCCTTTTGACATATAAGTTGCTGCTGGTATTCTTCTGCCTTTTCCACTGTAATTCCCTCATAAGTTTCAGTCAACTTGGGAACCTCCGTCTTTCGGCCCGGTGGAGGCGACTAACATCTCTCAGGTTCCAACCACGACTGGAGCAACACACGCCAGCCAATGTCCACCTGGCGCAAACGCCAGCAAGACGTTCACGTACCTTCACCTGTGGAAGCCTGTCCGTAACAAAGCTGGAAAGCGATGCTTTCCAGTTAAGCACACTGGGGCCCTGGGGGCATGTGTGAGGGCGACTTGGCCCTCCAGAATACCCGGGCCATGTGGCGGAGAACTGCCTCGAACCATCCTCAGTTGTGCGGACGGAGAACCGCCTCTGACCTGAGGTTCTGAAAAAATGGGGGACTCTGCGACCTTCCCCTGCCGGAACAAACGTGCCGCTGAAAGTCTCGACAAGTGGAATGTTTATGTAATATATATATATATACTACAGTTGATTAATACTGCAGTTTGAACAGTGAAGATTTCTAGAGCAACCCCCTTCATCACCCAGAAACCAAACAAACATGACCCTGCACACCACATTCCACTTCACTGTTATTACGTACTTACTCACCGCCACGTATCACATGCGTATCACAGGCGCCACCCGTCGTATCCCGACGCATCTTTTTCACTTCCTCGCCGTCAAAGTCCTCCTGCAGCATGTAGAGGACAATGCTCCTTGAGTAGCCCCCCTCCTCAAAGCACAAGTCTTTAAAGCGCATGGACGGATGCTTCTGCCGTAGGTACTCGATGAAGTCCTGGGTGCCGCAGGGTGAGAAGTGACCACTGAGAACTGGTTGAAGGCCGCACAAGTTTGAGATCACCATTCCAACTCGGCATGGGAAAAGGATGGAAAAGCACTAAATATTGCAATATATTGCACATTCAAAACCAGCTTCCACTCAATTACTCATGCAAGTGGATGTCCATCCATGACAGAGCTGCGACCAATTGCACTGCTGTGGTGTATATTTGCACTCGGTGTGTGTGTGTGTGCGATCAGCAAACACATGCGGCACGCGCTTGAAGGAGGGCTCAAGTCAGCGCATCAAAACAGGCACTAAAGTTCCTGGTATTGGTTCATGTTGCTCTGTACTGTTTGCTGTTGTAATCAGTGCTCTCTCTCTCTCTCTACAGCAGTGTCTGACTGAAGCTCAGTGTAATCCAATTTCAACGGTCCCGGCCCGGTACATTATAAAAACTCGCCTATTTGATTGAACATCCAGGGAGCTTTCATGTGGGCGCTTGAGAGCACAGCATCAGCACCGCAGCAAAAAAGTGAAAACAGCCAACACCTTTGGGAGCGAACATTCACTTATTTTGTAAGACATGCTGCATGCTTTTCAAGTTACGTTCTAAGTATATGTCTTCTATAGATCTGATAGTGTAGAGACAGACCCAAATAACGTTGCAAAGGCTGAGCGTCGGGGTAGGTCTTCACCGTACGGCCATACAGCTTGCGCTCGGGAAAGTCTTTCCTGAGCGTCGTCGTTCGAAAAGGTCCCTGGCGTTCGGGTGATTTCAGGCTTCGGGCCATTCACGGAAAACATCTAGTCAACTGAGATGACTGGGATAACCATTCCATACCATCGGATGGGAATGCCAGCCGGATGATAACCATTCCACACCATTCCCACATGACAAACAAGCCTCCAAAGCGGAAGACCCGGGAGCTCGGTGGACTGTCACCCTCCGGACCTGAGGCCCGGAGGACCAGGGGCGTAAAACTCACCAAAAAGAACCGTATATAAATCTCCTTGCCCCGCGTAGGACCATGCGACTCCCTCTACCATTCTGATCTCGAAGTAAGACTGTCTCGTCGCCATCTATGGCACTGCTTCGTTCGCTGTTCGCTTGGTCCGGTCCCAGGCGCGGAAAAACACAGCAGGGGCAAACCGCAAAGGGTCTTTGGAGCTCTAACGCCAGGTCGATGCAGGCTTCGGTGGCCTGTGCCACGCGAGAGGTTGGGCGCGAAGGAAACAGTTTTCAGTTCGAAGTTGGTAGGAGGAAGGTTACCTTTCATGAAAGCCGCTGAAAACGCGGTGGACTCTTTCCAACTGCACTGAAGAGTCAAAAAATGTTAAATGTAATTAATTAGTGAAGTCATGTTGAATGTTTTGGCATGTCCAGCTGATCCCAAATAACTACCCTTGACCTAGACATGATCTTTGCACCACCAGTTTACTTTGAGTCTCTTAAACGTTGATCTCGCAACACTGGTTAGTGGTGTCAATCTGCCTGAAAGCTATTGATTGATGGGAGTGGGTTCTATATTTTCTGCATTCTCCCAGTTGAATGTCGAAAAGCAACATATTTGCAGAACTCGCACTGTTCACTACCCCTCATTCATGAGCTCATTCAACTGGCGCAGCGGCCTGGTCGGGGTGGAAGCCCAAGATGAGGCTACAGGAGTGAATCGCCTCTGGGCAGACGGAAGAAAGCCCTGAAGAAAGGAACACAGCAACTGAGGTTTTGGATGGGTCTGAAGATTGAGGTGTGAATGCTGTGATTGATCTTCTCAACTTGCAGCATCTTGCAGCATGTGTTGAGGCTTCTAGATGCTGATATATGCTGATAGATGGAAAGGCATGGGCATGGGCCACACCAGCCTCAAGGGCCTCTGCAGCCTCCTCAATGCGCACAGCACGAGGGGCTCCTGCATTGCGAGAGCCTACAAATCGATCCAGTCCAAACATGACTGCGGTTCGAAGCTCTGCACAGGTCTTTGTGAAACGGAGAACGATGATAGTAGATGATAATAGTGTGCAAAACCATGCCCACTCTGGCGTGACCAAAAACACGGCTCCTCCAACTGGGTCCTCCAAACATTGTGGTTTCCTGTGACCCCTCTGGGATAACCAGCGGAGTTGGGACATGCTCCTGCGTGATGCTGAGTGTGAGAACTCCGCCCACTCACCAATATATCTACAAGGGGCCTATTATCACTAAACAAGGGCATAGCGAAGCCTATTCAGAGTCACTCAAACTCACTTATAACTTATAACTCACTTATATTACCCCAAGTTGGTCTGTTGGTGTGGGTCCGAAGAACACAAATTCAGAGTAGTAGTCACCGGCTCCTTGACTGTTCTCCAACTCCAGTGATTGGTGATGCCCGCAGCGCTCCGTCTGCTCGGCTCTCTTCGACGCCTCTGCAAACGCGTCAACGATGTCGGGGTCGGCTTCGGTCGCTTTTGGGGGCTCCCAGAGTCCTAGAGTTGGGCTGCCCGGGCAATCATTCGTCGAACTTCTCCCAAATGACTCGCACAGAAAAGGCCTGAAAGCTCACATGAAAAGTACTAGAATTTACCCTCCGGCTCACTCACATGGAAGTGGATGGCACCTGTTTGTAGGTGAAAATGGCCTTGCCAATGGCCCCCTTCCATCCACTTCCATGTTAGTGAGTGGAGTGTACTGACCCGATCTTCCAATTCTTCCCGTTATATATATATAACTATATAACTAATTCCCACCACCGCACTCATCCAACCAGCGTGCCTCCTCCCAGAAAAACTTCCACTCCACAAAGGGCTTACGACGATGCTCCAGCAGCTCCTGGTCCTGTGGAAATGCACCAACATGCACCAACCGTCAACCTACAAAAGAACATGTCACAACTCCTCTCTTGAAAAGCAAGGTGTTCGAGTTGTTGGGGGGGTGTGGGGTCAAACTACCTAAACATCATCTTCTACATTCTTGTGCAGGGGTACATCCGTGTCGGATCCCATCGTAGCCCCCAAACCAGTGTTGGGTCCATGTAGACCCGTAGGTGTCGTGGAGGTCGCCAGGGCGGCTGCAGCGCCAAGTGTCGAAGGGGCCCTTGGGGTCCACGATCTTCCTGAGACGGCAGACGCGAGGTGCAATGAGGAGATGTTCCTTTCTTGGCAAATAGCTACCAGTAGCTTCTTGCTACTAGTAGTAATGGCCTCCAACCTACTAGCGATGGCCTTCTACTACTTTGATGCTTCATGATCTTCATGGCAACGGATTTTCTGGGACATGATTTTGTTTGAGTTGCCTTGAGGATTGAGCTTCAAGCACCTCCTGAAGCTGCTTGGGGTATCGATTTGGGTTTTGGGGTGGTCTGGACCCTGTGAAGACCAAAACGCATCATGTCACGTTCCATCCCCTCCCAAGTCCCAGAAGTGCAAATCAATTAGGGGAATGGCGGGGATGGGTAGTTCACACACACATATATATATATATATATTTACGACTCACTGCAAGTCAATCTATAATATATGTATCATTATTTATGTATCTGATGTGTACATCATATAAGCCATCCTTTATCCATTTGTTGAATCGACGGGTCGCCCAAAATTGAGTGCTCACAAACCGTCGTTGCCTTTCTGTCCGCCAAGCTTCAGTCAAAGACCTTTCATCTTCATGACGCGTCCTTGGTCCACCAACATTGACCTTTTCTAGCATCCCTTTATTTTTTTCTGGAATGATGGATGGTGACCTGGCCAATGGGACAATGCGTGGCGCATGGAACACTACGGGAAAAGAGGAAGCTGAGTTTCATCCAAGTCCAAAATTGTTCAAATGCAGCAATGGACAGCCCAAACACCCAATGAACCCCAAATCTTTGGATGGCCTTTGGATGGGACCAGGTGAAAATCTGTGAACAACTTGGTCTGGCCCAACTTGGGTCAAGATGGAGGGGGGGCACCTGTGATGACTGGACCCAGGAATTAGCAAAAGCACCCTAAGATAGGCAGGACTATAGTCACTGGTCAAACCTCCTGTCTTCCTCTCAAGCGAAAATCCATCGAAATCCGAACTCCGAGCGGCTCAAAGTGCCACTTGGCTGTCCGGGTGATCTTCGTGTGATCCGTGCAGCGGGGATCCACGACCACCGAGTCCAAGGCATCGGCATTCGCCAGCAGCCACGACAGGTCCCCCTTGCCTCGGCACCGGATCAGCCGAAAGAATTCCCAGGGCGATGCACCCGACGTGGTCTCCCACTTCCGGACGCTTCTTTTCGTCGCGCTTTGGGATCCCGCCCGAGGACGAACACGTCGCTGCGGCATGGCACTCCCCACCTCCGGCCACATCCAGCACCGTTCTCCCCGTCCAGTGTGCGTCGTGGAGGTCCCAGGTCTTGACCACAAAGTCGCGGAAGGCAAAGACCCGTTCACGCTGGGGGATCGCCGCCATGGCGGGCCGCAGGGGTCGGCGGGGAGTGGGGAGTGGGCGTTGGTGGGGAGTGGGGGGGGGGGTCTTGGAGAGAGAGGGATGGGGGCAACCGTGTCAGTTTCCGGAGGGCAGTTGCGCCCTGGAAGATTTCGACATGGCGGAGGAAGCTGGGTCCTCCAAAGGTTCATTTTCAAGTTGCATGTTAATTTTCCCGCGTGTATCTGGAAAAGATCTGTATGATTGGATGGGCTTGGGCAGAATGGAAAAGACTATAGTTGCCGACAACTTTGCCGACACCCCCAGTTCTGCACAGCTGCAAGATCTAGAGAGGCAAGAGCGATATCCAGGTCAAATACCATGTTCTTTACATGACTTGATGATGACAAAGGTTCTGCAGTTCTGTGATCTTGGAGTGGAGCCTGTCAAATCAGAAGTGCTTGAAGGGCGTAGGCGTAGTCAGCGCTGGGAAGGCAACCACTTTTCAGAGACTAGGAAAAGCAAATTTGGTCCCAAGGTCCCCCCGAGTCCCCAGTTCCAAAATCCAAAATGGTGTCTTTTTTGTTTGGCTGGTCCTTCTCAAATAGCTTGCAGCTGCAGTGTGTTCACCACCAAGGAGGTGATTGATCAGCAAACTCGGAAGATGGGCAGTTGACCCCCCTGTACAAGTTAGTTGATAGCAGTGGATCATATCTGACAATAATATATACATCTACAGGAGGTGCAGGTAGCAACTACGAGGGAATGATTTGAGAAATGATTTGAAATGAGTGATGTTCTTTTTCAAACAGGGTGAAAAAGAAGGTCTTACAATCATCTGTGGGAAGGGGCCTATACTTATCTATACTTTATTACAACTTGTAACCACATGCATTGGAACCCATCTCGTTGGCCCAACGATCCCGCCGGACCAGTCAACGGCGAACGGCCGTCGTCCAAACCTGCTCCATGAAGACCATGCCACACCGCGACACCGTGGCAGGAGATGCAAAGGTCAAGTCCTCCCCAATGCGGTCAGGATCGGATAAGAAGACGGCGAGGTTTCGACGGTTTCTACTTGTGAGTGAGAATATGTTTTTCATGACTGGTGAAAACGAAGCACTGCATTGCCGACGTGGTAGGCCTTGTCTCGGTGGTGGGTGACATGGTGTGTTTCTATTTATGGTGAGGTGGACATTTCCACGATAGTTGTAGTCGTAGTGTCTGACTGTTGGTGAAAGGATGCTTTCACGTTGCAAGTGGTCTGTTTGAAATTGTCGTTGGTGCGTCCTTTTATTATGCCAATGTGATCCGGACAAAATGACTGACAAAGGTGAAATCCACACTCAACCAAACAAACACGGAACTAGCGCACCCTCTTCTTGCTAAGCAAAGGCATCTCGCTAGCAACAGCTAGCTTTCTGAAAAAAAAAAGAAACATTAGTCATATAGATATTGGAACCTCCAAATCTATACATTATTATATAAGAATCATAGGATGTAGGTGGTTAAGCTTCACCTGAGTCCTCACTCTGGCTCTGCTCCCGGTAACAGGGAACGCCCTGTCTGGGCGTTACACAACGGATTCCTCCACCTCGAACATCATCGTGGTGACCTCGGAGCTGTCGACCCCGTACGCCTTACCACCTCTGACCTAGCAAATGAACAGCACTGGAACTCCACTGACCGAGGTCAGTGGACATCGGTCCTCACTAAACTCGCATCGGTCCGCCGGCTGCGGGTGACAGGCATCGGTCCCCAGGTCGCTCTAAGGATTCCACGGGGCTCAACTTGATGATCTCGCCACTGTTTAAACAGAGCTTCTTGTTGTCCTCAGGGACGCCAGAAGTCGTGGAGTGATGAAGACTGCTGTTTTTTGGGACTCCTCCGGACCGAAATCCGAAAGAATGAAAATGAACTTCAACATCTCTGGAGGCACCATTGGGCACCCCATTGGGCTGAGAGCTCCGGCATCAAGGACAGTGTTCATGTTCTCAATCCACACTGCGTCCACTGGCCCATCCTGAGCCGTTCTGGCGACATACAGGACCCTTCTTCCATAGCAGCTGTTGGCATCCTACCTACCAATGGTAGTTGAATGTAGTTGATGACCTTCCTGAATGCAAGAGCAACCATCTATACACTCCAAAGCCGCAAAGAGGATACTTGTGTACAGAGTACGTTGATTTGGAATATAGATCATATAGCTCAAACATGTCTCGTCTCACCCGTGCTCCGAGCTCCGGGCTCGCCGCTCCGGGCGCCCCGACGAGCATGATCCACTGCCGGTGCGAAGGGTCTGCGTTCGCCGTGTAGCGGACCGTCAAGGCGAGGATGCCGTCGGTCCACTCGTGGGTGTTCTCATCGAAATCGCCATAGAGTTGGCCCTGCTTGATGGACCTGGACGTGCGCCGATGGGTCGATGGACACGAAGTGCCCGCCCACAAGGGCGCACGCGTATGCACGCGTGGAGATGAGGTCGGCCCCGGAAACAGGGTGATGATGGACGGGGTGTCAACGCGGTGGAAGAAGGATGAGGAAGACTACGAGGAGGGGGGGTGTTATAGATGGGTGATGAGGTAAAGGGGAATGACTGACTGGTCTTTTCAGGAATATATCGATGATGAATAGATATAAGTATATATATATATATAGCAATGGCAGGCAGCTAGCACGCCATGTGTCAAAACCCAGGACATGAAATCACTGTCCCCTTTGGAGGTCAAAATGGCTCCCTTGGGCATGGACAAGGCGTTGTTTGAACCGTGTGGGACGTGTCGGCAGGACATGAGCAAAAGTTGCACATGCATTCCATGGTCACAGCAAGAACCCAGTGCATCCAACTTGAAGAACAAAAGAAGAAAAATAAAGAGGGAGGTCAAGAAAAAGCACTGTTTTCCTAGAATTGGCAACACAAATCACATAGGTGTTCCATGCGTGTCTGAGATCACGACTTTGGGTTGATCTTGTGAATCTGGCAAGGCAGGTACAAGTCACCTGATTCAGTCGAAAAGGCCATGTATGACTCGGTGTGCGTTCCATTTCCACCAGAAGAAGTCCAATCGATGGGCTTGCCAGGCATCCGGAATCTGGACACACTGACCGGAGCCATCCAGTAATTATGACGCGTCTCGTTCGTGCAAGTCTACAGCATTTCTCGGTACTGGGTTGCACAAAAGAACCGCAACATCATGCCATTTTCCCATGCAACACATCGGTTCTGAGTTCTGAGATGTTCGTTTCGTCCCTGTCGACCCAAGAAACGGGGGCCGTCGCCAGGGACCAAAAGCAACGGGGGCCGTTCGCGTCCGTCGAACTCACCGTCCGTCCAAGGAGCCGTCGGCCACAGCAGCCAAAGCCGCTGAAAGCACGTTTTCGACCTGGCGGACCGGGTGAAAACACGGCGTGTTGGAGGGTGAAAGGTGTGAAATACAGGTACCTAGTGGCACTCCAACCCAAAAGCAAGGGCACTCCAACCTACCAGCGATGGCCTCCAACCTACTAGCGATGGTCCAACCTAGTGGCACTTCCAGGTATGTGGCTTCTTGCTTCCGAAATGTATCATCTGCAAAGGTTCTACTGTCGGAGATCGGTCGGGCTAGGGTGGAACTTCCAATGACAGAAGGGCCTCAGGGAAATGAAGGGAGGGAACCATGAATTGCTTGCTGTTGGAATGTCTTCAGCAGGGCTTCAGGTGAACATGTGTTGATGTGGCATGCTCCACAAGCTCCAAAGATGCCAGCTGTAGTGAGCCAGCCCCAAAATGTGCCAAATATCCCTTCACAAGTTCACAAGGCAATATGTATGGCCCGTGTCTTTCAGGGTGGGGGTCTTGCTCACCATTTTATAGACATAAACTGGGGGGCCCAACCCCCTTGAGTCACCTAAGTCGGGGGGGGTGACCCACACCCTTGCAACCCTGAGACGTCTCCATTGCCTCTGTCTTCCCTGAGACGTTCATGCCTTAGTCAATCGATGCGTACGCAACATCGAGCATCATCCTCGAGCCAGCTTGACATTGTCTGCCTCAACATCAAACACAGACCCAGGACCTGTACCCTCAGAAGAAGCATGGACATTCTGGCTCAAGATTGGATAATTAGTCAGTCTACAGTGTAGTTAGTAGAAGAAGGAAGAAACAAGATTCTCCCTGCAAGTGGTGACTTGAGAGAGGAGGGGGTGAACGAAAGGTAGCAGGCAATCACAAGTAACCCTGGTAGAAGTCCATGACGGCGTGAACCGGCGCAGGGGGGATTTGATCCAGGGGGGGCCCCCCCCGTAAGAGGGAAGAGTATACCCTATGTGCCGCGCAGTCTGCCTTGAGATAATTTGAGCTAACATAATTATATAAATATATAGATTAATAATTATATACTATATCAAAAATAAAATATTTAAATTGGGCTGTCGTCTGATATGTTCAGATTTCTAAAATCAAATCGCAATCTTTTATATTTCTATATTTTTAAAAAAAAAAATATTTTTTTTTAAAATTTTTAAATCATCTGGAAATCTGGTGATCTCTAGGAACAGTCCTACGATATAATTTTTTAAAATATTTTAAACTTTTCGGAGCCTTGAAACATTTAAAAAATTTAAAACAATTAAATCGCAATCTTTTATATTTTTTACATTTTT